CCCCCCGTGGTCTTCCCCCCCCCCCCCAACCACCACCACCACACACTCCCTTGCTCATATAATCCCTCCTTCCTCTCTTCGACTGAAATTCTGAAACTCAGCCTGGTGCTTGGCTGTGGATCTCTGCATCTGCTTCCATCAGTTGTTGGATGAAGGCTCTATTACGACAGTTAGGGTATTCACCTATCTGATTATATGGGAGGGTCAGTCAGTTCAAGCACCCTTTCCACTATTGCTAGGAGTCTTAGCTGGGGTCATCCTTGTGGATTCCTGGGAAATTCCCTAGCACCAGGTTTTTCCCTAACCCCATAATGGCTTCCTCTATCAAAATATCTCATCAGTTGCTCTCCCACTCTGTTCCTCCCCATTGACCACCCCATTCCCTCATGTTCTCATCCCCCATCTCCTCCCCTCTGCTGTCCCCCTCCCTCCAGTTTACCCAGGAGATGTCATCTATTTCCCCTTACAAGGATGCCCATTCCTTTCTCTTAGGGTCCTCCTTGTTACCTAGCTCCTCTGGAGTTGTGGGCTGTAGTCTGGTTAACCTTTGCTTTATACCTAGCAGTGGATGATATTCCTAATTTGTTGATTAGGCTACTGTGTTTAGCCCAGGCTCCCTGTATAGATGTTTAGAGTAGCTGGGCAGATAGATAAGAAGTCCTTGAGCTGGACAGGCTTCAATTTGCTCACAACCCTTCCTGCATCCCCCTGCACCTGTAGAGAACATGTCTGATATCAGAAATTGTCTTTAAAGAGTGAGTAAGCAGTTCTTTTTTGATTGTACTGTTAAGCCATAGCGCACTGAAAATTATGTGTGTGCTCACTTTAAAGAAAACATTAAAAATGTCAGACATTTATGGGTCAAGTTACATAACAATTTTCTCCTTCCCTTTCCAACTGGTTTAGTCTTGGACAGAGCAAAGCATGGGATATAATGCAGGTCACACACACTCTGCATCTCTCCATCCGCTGTAACAGTTGCCCAAGTTGCTAAACAATGTCTATGGTTGGCTCCTTCACTTCCCAGTGCCTGCGTGTAGCACCACTCCAGAGGTAATGCTGCAAGGGGTGGCTGTCTGGCCATTGAAACATAAATGTCACTAAGAAAATGACTTCTTTGACATCCTGTTTTCCTGGCACTCTCTTGTAGCTACTCTAGCTTAGAAGCAGGCACACCTTCAAAACATAAGGGTGGAGCCAATCAGACCAGCTTTATGGTCTAGAACCCCAGGGGAATCTGTGGCTGCTTTTCATGGAATTGTTTCTTAGCAAACACCTTTCGTTCCAGTGATTGGCATGAAATGACAAACAGGAGATTTTCCTTAAACATTCACTCAAAAGTCAATATTTGGTGTACTGAACATGAACCTAAAACCAGTTCAAGCTTGATAAGCTTGCCACCTCTAGTTCTAGAATGTACTCCAGAATATATTTGACCATAAAGAGGAAGCTGTTAGGAGATGATAAGGAGATGCTAAATCAAAGAAACCAGTTACTTTCTGTGCATGTAGCTCCACGCAGGTCCTAGGATTCTAAGCTAGCCCTTCAAACTATCTGTTTCATGGGGCTATTTTGGGGTTGAATTTGGACATTAACTACTCAGAGTTAGAGCAGGATGCTTGATGGGCTACTAATCTAACAAACATAAGACTGTAGGACTATCCATACTTCCTTCTAACCAACTGTGAATTAGGGAGTTCCCATGTCCCCTCAGCTTAGGTAATTCAATACAACAATTCACAGAATCCATTGAAAAGTCTTTATGAAAACCAGTTATAGCTTTATTATAAAGACTACAGATCAGAAGCAGCTAAATGAAGAGTCATGAAGGGCAAGTTGGGACAGACACAGGGTAATTGTGTATACTGCTTGGGAAATATGACCATGTCACTGTCGTAACAAAAGCATTCATTTGCCATCAAGGAGCCTGCCAGAACCTTTGTGTCCAGAGATGTGGGGAGAGGTTTACATGACAAAAGCATAAGTGGTTAAGTCAGTCTCATCCTCTGGAGGTTGGCCTTGCCCAGAGTTTCCTT